CTGTGTGAAGTGAGCTTCTCAAGCCTGGCTACTATAAAAACTGAAACCAGAGAGAGACTGAGAGCTGTTGAGGAAGAGCTTTGTCTTTCTTCAATTTCTGCCAGGAAATCAGCTGTTTTATCCAAACATGCACAGGTTTCACACTAGATGGGTAAAATATACAGATATTGACATTTTGTACATGCAAATCTAAATATTGTAACAGTGAAATCTTTCCCAAATATTATTGCTTCTTTCAGAATAAGAATTATTTTCTGTATTCTGTCTAAAAGAATGCTTGTGGATTAGTTTGTAAAACACTGAAGTTTTCTACAACTTCTTTAAATTTAACACCACAGTGTTGTGGCACTGTTCAGGTGTATTTTTGAAGTGGACATGTTACGTGCAATTTGAAATAAGCAATGTAAAATGTGATAAAAATACATTTTTGTGTTTATTTGATTCCTATTCAAGACACTTTGATAAGAATGACTATATATGTAGTATAGGCGACTACAGAGTATCTTTGTTTACATTGTTGGTTGGTGGTGTGCCTCATGATGTTTTCAATTAAAACAATGTACCTTGGCTCAAAAAAGGTTGAAAAACACTGCCATAAGGTATAGACTTATTTTTTATTGTCATTGCACAAAGAAACATAAGTAAAATTGGCAATGAAATGTCCTCGCTTGGCCACCGGAGCACACACAGAAACACAAGTGTGCCTATAATTAAATAATATGCAAATAATAATTACTATTTTCAAACAGTTTCAGACAGTCTTCATGATGGGATTGTTGAGCAATCTGATGGCCAGTGGGAGACAACTATTTCTGAGTCTGGCTGTTCTGCAGCGGATGCTACGGACTCTCCTCCCAGACGGTAAGCCGATGAACAGGCCATGGAGAGGATGGGTGGAGTCAGAGATGATCTGGTTTGCTCTGGCTAAGCAGCGTCTGTGTGCAATGCTCTAGATAGGAGGGAGTGGAGCCCCAATGGTCCTCTCAGCTGTCTTCACCACGCTTTGCAGGGACTTCCAGTCTGAGGCCTTGCAGCTCCAAGACCAGATGGAGATACTGCTGGTCAGCAGGCTCTCAATGGTTCCTCTGTAGAAGGTGGAGAGCAATAGTGGGAAGTAACGAAGTACAAGTACTTCGTTACTGTACTTAAGTACAATTTTCGTGTATCTGTACTTTACTTAAGTACAT